GATGGAGGAGGGGATGGAGGAGGGGATGGAGGAGGTTGATGGTCGGTCGGTGGATGAATGGATGGTATGTGGGTGGATGCGTGAATGGGTGGATGAGTGGATAGGTGGATGAGTGCATGAGTGGATGAGTGGATAGGTGGATGAGTGCATGAGTGGATGAAATAAGACAAGTCAGCCAATTTTGGTAGACAAGACATTCAAAATAGATAGGATATATCTAATAGGTTTAGATAGTTTAGATAGACTAAACATGGATGAACGCGGTAAGACGGATATTACAGATAAGATGAACAAGATAGATAAGATGAATAAGACAGACAAGACACATAAGACAGATATGATTAGTCAGTCGGTCACTCAGACAGTCGGACAGACAGCCAGACCTTCAGACAGTCGAACAGTGCGACGAACAGGCAGAGAATTAGATAAGCCCTAGAAGCTCTCCAAGCGCGCTCAATCCATCGCAGGGGCGATGACATATGGAGTTGAAATCTTTAGCGGTACCCTTCAGTGGACATCATTTACATGGGGAGGTTTAACTCCACCAACCATTTTGCAAGGATAGCCTTCCATCACAACTCATTGCCGGGAAACTCGAGGTAGGACCCGGTCCTAGAAAACGGCCATGGTTTCCTTTGGGTTTCCCTTTTTCAAAATCACGAGGTCGCGTCCGAAGCTGATCCCAGCGAACTGTGCGAATCGCTTTGATCGAGACCTCGTTCTCCGAGAAGTCAAAGCGCTGGAAGATCCGAGTCACTTCCGCAGAGGACACCTGCTTTGAGACCCCCAATGGCATGTGGATATGTGAAGGGATTTGAGCCCAACATGGGTGGGTTGCCTTCTTTTGGCTTCCCTCTTGTTTTTTAGAGGAGACAACTGGTGGTCGCAAAAAAAAAAAACACGTCCATCCACAGTGGGTGTGTTTTTGCTGCGACTCGGTACCCATTTGGGGGTTGGTTTGAAGCAAAACCAGCTATGCCAGGAGCTTGACCTGAGAAGATCTGCTCGGAAATCTGCCAGACCTGGTGTCTGGCTCCAACGGTGACATTTTTTGCCAGAAAGCCAACTGAGAAGTCCTCTCGACGTGCGCAAATGAGGACCCATCACCTCTTTTGGAAAGCCATGGTTCATGTCGCCCTTCAGTTTCCTGAGACAAGCCCCCAAAAGCAGTTTCCCCAAACCTGCCCCGCCACCCCCCCCACCCAACAAAAGAAAGAAGAAAAAAGTTTCCCCGCCCCCACCCCCCCTTCCCCCCCAAAAAAAACAAAAGCACACAAAAAAACCTTCCCCCCCCCCCTTTGCCCCGCTCCCCGCTCCCCGCTCCCCGACCGCAGCAAGAAGCAAGAAGCAAGCTGAACAAACGAGCCCCGCACCCCCCAAGCCTCCAGGCCGGCCCGGCGCATGGCCTCCATGAGCTGCTCCGTGGTGATGGTGCCGTTCTGCCGCGTGTCCAGGTCCAGGAAGGTCTGCTCCAGGCCCTCGCGAGGGCCGATTGCCGCATCGGGGGCGATTTGCGCCAGCGGCCCACTTGGGGCTTGGAAGTCCAAAACGAGGGCTCCAAGTGAGCCTTTTTGGGGGGAACCAACATTTTGCCCCAAGATTGAGACCCGCACAAGGTTGCATTTAAGTTGAGTACCTTTATGGTGGACAAAAGGGCGACCGTGAAGGTTTGAGTCAGCTTTGGGGCAATCAAACAAATGGAGCTCTGTATGAGTATGTGGCAGTATGTAGGAGTGTCGTTTTGGGGGAACCTGCTTGTTGCTTGGATGTCTTGGGAACCAAAGGAATCCAACCAGTTTGGGGGTCCAAATCCGTACTTTGACACAAACAAGAGTTGCACTAAGCCCATGCTAGTTATGCTAGTTGGGTGTCCTCTAAAACCAACCAACGAGCAGGTGTCCGCCCATACTGGTACAGAGTTGCATTCGATGGATTTCCCCAATATAGACTCAAACCCAAGGGGTATTTGGGGAAATCTACAACCCAGGTTTAAGTCTCGGTGTAGTCAACAAATGCAACCCTGTACAGGCGTGTCGAAGTAGGGATTTCCCTTTAAAAACACACACCAAACAGTACAACCTCAAGAAAACAGAGACCCACTTTGAATGGGCAAAATCCACACCAGGCGCCAGTTGGGATTGGGGGTGTCAACAAGGGTGCACATGGGGGTTCATCCGTCACGTGGATTCCACAGCAACACTGGGCCTGCCCCAAACCAAACTCACAGAAAATGCTGCAGTGCTCACACTTGAGTCATGGTGCAAATGTAGTGTTGCCACAATGGACATGGGAAAAGACTTGAGCCCTGGTTTGGGTCGGAATTCGATCCCTCAGGCCCCCAAACTAACCCTACTGGAACTGCGGCGTCTACGCGGCTTCGCCTGGCTCCAATTCCGGCGGCCCAACTGGAACCCACAAAAAAGAGGCGGAAAAACAGAAAAACCGCGACGGCTTCGCTTGGTTGCCGACTCCACCAACCTCCTCTTGCCCAAAAATATCCCGCCTCCAGCTCGGAGGAGGTCAAGCTGTACGCCAGCATTGTGAGGGCCGCCCTGCGCAGATGCGAGCTCTGCGCGAAGGTCCGCAGGCTCTTCAGCACCGCGCTGCCCAGCGTCACCGGCGCCTGGCCCAACTTCAGCCAGCGGTGGTCCAGAGCCTCGGCGGCGTTCAGACGCCGCGCTGGGTCCTGGTCAGCTCCCCCCAAAGCCCCCCCCCGCCCCCCACGCGTTGGGGGTTGGATGGGTGGCTTGGAGCTCGGATTCCACTTACCCTCAAGACCCATGACGCCATGGCTTGAATCCAAAACCACAAATCCCAACCAGCAACAAAGGGTTGCCTGAGACTAGTGCGGACAGTGCCATCCAATGACACCCTTGCTTTCTAAGAAGGGAAACACCCCCGGTGTTCACTTCCATGAGCGGACATCTACCATCCTGAAGAAAGAACATAAACCTCTAGCGCAACCATGTCAATACTAGGAATCACGGGCAAAAACACAGAGAGCCCAAATAACAATGTGCATGTGGGAACCAAAATAACAGGCACTTGACAACCTGAAGTAACGCTAATGACATAAGTACGCTCAGCCACCAACAAACACCGTGAAGCAGCATCCTGCACACCGCCCAGTCAGCGCAACTCTCAGTCTCACTCGCCCGTAACACCCTCTGAAGGCAGCCCGCAACAGCCCCCTGCGACAGCCCCTGCAACAGCACCGGCAAAAAATCCTAGTCACAGCCTGACCCTGCATCCTCCAACAACAGCAACAGCAGCCCACAGCACCCTGCAACAGAAACCTTCTGTACCATTCCACTCGCTAACACACCCTAAAGCTTAAAGTGTCGCGTCCCACCCTCTCCACTTGAAGCTGCGGCCCGGCAAACCAGACGCTGTCTCTTGCACATCTTCCTCTCCTTCTGCAGGAGGCTCTGGATGAAGTCCTGCGCATGCAGCGACAGGCAGGCCCAGCGCCCGTCCAGGGGAATCTCCGCCTCCTGGATGGCCTTGGCGATCTTCGCGTTCGTTGAGCCACGGAAGGGCGGGCGCCCCATGAGCAGCATGTAGCAGATCACCCCCATGCTCCACAGGTCGCACTTGCTGCTGTAACTGCGACTTATCACCTCTTTTGCGCATGAACAAGAACATGAAAAGTTGAACAAAGACATAGGGGCTGTTCTCTGCTACGAGTTCCCCGGTTGCCGAAAATTTGGGCCTTGATCCCTAAAAATTCCAAGTCTGAAATTGCCTGGCCTCCGGGCTGGTGTAATGCAGGGTGCCGCAGGGCATCTGCAGCAGCTCGTCCTCCTCGAAGATCTCGGAGAAGCCGAAGTCGATGAGCTTCAGCCGGTCCTCCGAGCCGTACATCCAGTTCTCAAGCTTCAGATCCCGGTGGACGATGTTGTGCCGGTGGAGGTAGTTCACCGCCTGCAGCATCTGCCGCATCACCTCTGCGGCGTCCTGCTCGCAGTAGACCTTCTTCTGGCAAAGCCGGGTGTACAGCTCGCAACTGCACATCTCCATGACAAGCCACACCTTTCTGTGCCCTTCATATGCATGCAGAAGCCGGCATATATTGGGATGATCCAGGCGCAGGTATACCTCCACCTCACTCTTCAAGAGTCTCAGGCGCTGTGGCTTTAGGCGTCGTTTGCTGAATTGTTTCACTGCCACCTGCTGCCTAGACAGCTTGTGCTCCGCCAAGCGCACGGCTCCAGAATAGCCAGTACCCAGCACCTGTGCTTGAATGTCAAAGTCGCGATGGATCTCGGCGTGCACAATCCGCTTCGCCAGAATGGAGTTCTTCAATAGAGGATCCTCGTCTGGCACGATGGACTCGTGGGAGAACTGCTTCACACCTACGATGCCCATATCCTAACCTGCAACTCTCTGCACCTGGTTGGTTTCTTCACACCTGGACGCTTGTGTAGCAGGGAAGCCTGTGTTGAACAAGCCTTGTGCGCCTCGCTCCTTGCCAAAGTGGGCCCTTGCTTTATACTTTGCTGTTCTCGGGCCGATACTGATTGCGGCAGCTCAAGCGTCAGCTCCAGAGAATGGACGATTCCCCCATTGTTCGTGATGAAGCCCGTATCGAAACAAGCACACATGTTCACTGATTTTTTGTTGGCAGGGGCAAGGTCCGAAGAAAGAGGACCCTTCTACGCCCCAAGCTAACATGTCAAGGTCTCCATCGTTGGTGACCGGCGTCTGCGTCAATTCAATGTCTCGGGCATCCAAAGCCTTGATGCATGCCAGAGCTCAACGCCGAGGGAGTGCTTCAGTGTTGTGCGATGAGAACAACTGCGAGTCCACGATGTCCGACCGAAGAATCATGGAGCGGTACCCAGCCCTTCGTGACCCTTGACTGCTTACTTTCCCACCCACTTTAGAATGAGCCCACTTTTGGGGAACGGGGTGAAAAGGCGGTGTGCACACGCCTAGAAACAAAGAATCGCAAGGTAGTTCTTTGCCCTCTGCCAAGCTCCTGATCTCCCAGCTCACGCCTGCCAGGCTGCCAGGGCCGGCCTGATGAGAGCCTGCAAGCAGGGCTCCACCGCCACTCGCGGCAGGCGCTTGATGTTCAGATGCACGAAAGGTACCTGGCATCCAACCGGCTTGCTTGAAAAACCCGCGGGTCAGGGAGCAAGCGGGCCAGGGGTCACTCCATAGGTGCCCTGCGCCATAGACCTGGCACAAAGGACGGGTCTTGAAGCGCCGGTGCAGCGCATGCCCGGAAGTCCCGGAAAGCGTTCGGTGCCTCAGCACATCGTCCAGCATCCTCTCATTGGTGTGGTCAAAGGGCGACCCGTGGAGGAAAATCACCTGGGACTCTGTGAGAAGAATGCGTAACATGCAACATGCGAGCCCCGGACAAAATCAGAATCTCTCCATTTCGCTGTCATGCAGTAATGCCTGCACAGGCTCCGCATAAGACAAAAGGAGGCTGTGGAAGTCTGGCCGAGCTGCACATAAGCCACATTCTCGAAGCCTTCTGGTTCGGTAAGTTCTATGGCTGTGCTTCCTGGCATCACGAACCTGTGAACGTGACAACACAAAAAGAAATGCAAAGAAAAAAAAGAGCAAGGCCTGGATGTATCACCCCCAGGCGAAGCATCCAGTCCAGCAACTGCTGCCCATCAAGTTCCTGGTTCTTGGACGCGCCCGATGGGCACTTCTCGTAGATCACCAGCCTCACCCGCATGCCAGCCACTTCCGGCGTCCACTCGTCCCGCAGAATCCGGGCGAGCCAGGCCGCGAGCCAGCTCAGGTCTTCCGCGCAGCGTGTGACCACGACGTCCACCAGCGGGCGAGTCACAGGCGTGCCGCCGAAAGGAGCCGCAGCAGGGGGGCAGTCGTCGTCCTCAGCTGCCAAAGGACCGAGAAAATCAAAGGCGGTCACCTCTTGCCACTCAAAGTGGAAAGGGAAACCCATTGAATTCCTGACATTTGATTGGCCAAAGAAAAGTGGGCCAACAGAATCCTTCAGATCCCCCAAACCCCAAACCGGGGTAAGAGGTGAACGTCTCGACTTGCCGAGCCTCCGCGAAGGCACACGCGAAGGCCGCCCTTCGCGCTTCCAAGACCCCCTGAAACCGCTGCATCGCCCTTTCCAGGGGCTCAAAGGAGGCGAAGTGCACCAGCATCTCGCTGGCAGATTCCACCGCGCCGGCGCGGGTGTGGACCTTCCGTCGACTTCTCGATGGGTAAAACGGGGGTCTTGCCGTCTGAACCGTCTGAAAACCCGGTTTTGCCTGTTAAAGGAAACAAGCGTTTGAATAACTTGCAGGGTGTCTTTGACACGTACCTCCCAGGTGTGCTGGAAGTACTTCAGGAGCACGGCGGGAGGCACCAACATGGCCATGTACTCCGCGTAGATGTAGCTGGAAAGCAGCACCATGGCAGCACATTGCAACTCCATCATGTCGCTACCGGACATCACATTGCTGGTGAAAGTGGCCGGCACCGCTGCGACCAGCGCCAACAACCACACGTCCTCCATGGGGGGAACCCCCCCTGCGAAGTACTGCACAGCCCGGTCTTGAAATCCGGTGCCATCGAAGGTCCAGAGCATCAGCTTCTCTGCCACCGGGACTTGGCCACTCTGATTTGCGCTTTCCTCTGATCCCACGGTGATGGGCAAAAAGATGCCTTTGTCCAGGCTTATGCCTGGAGGTACCCGCATGAACCGGAAGCCGCAAACGAGTCTGGGAGTCAGCCACGAGTGATCCCAAACATTCATCTGCGTGTGGCCTGCAGCCCACCATTCTTCCCGCTGCGTCTGAAGGCTTGCCTGACTCCGCGCCAAAGTCAGGACGAGCCACGTCTTCATGCGCCAGCATGAAGTTAGCTGCTCTTTAAGGTTCTTGTGGGATTTTGCCAAAAGGCTTGCAACTGTAGATAGGTTCAAATCGAAAACAATGCGCAGTGTCCAGCTTGCAGGTGTGCTATCGACGTGAAGAGCACCTATCCACGTACCAAATAAAAGGACGAACATGTTGCCAACATGACTAGAGTTCAATGTCTCAAGTGTCTCCAAATAATTGGTTGATCCTTGAAGGCTCGCGCTCACACAAGCAACACACAATCACCAACACAAATGATGGCAGCGTTCGCTCCATACAAGGCATGCTTCAAACTCATTGGCGCAAACACGTTAACTTGCGGAAATGACACGCAAGCACAAGCACGTTGTTGAGCACTAGCAAGATCACATGCACAAAGGAGAAAGGCAACCCTCAAGTTGCTCAAGAGGTGCAGAACACGGCACGCAAACACACAACTTCTTCGAAGGCCGAGTTGACACTTCCTTGCAAGAGCTGCGTCCTCACTACTCTTCTGCCATTGGCACTTTGAATGGCAGCCTACATGCCCATGGCACTTCGCGCCATGGCAGACGGTGCATTAGCAGATCCCCCAGAGGGGACCGAACTCTGAAGCTGAAAGTTCATGTTCTCTGGTATGTCAGGAAGCTTTCCGTTTGGACCGCTTCCTTTTTGCACCACAAAAAGGGTCGCGAAAAGGATGCCCTCCGCGGAGGCGGACGAAGCTTCGTCAGCCCGGCTGCCTTTCCAGGTGTGCAACTAAGTGACAAACAGGGCTCTCGGAATTTTGCCAAACCCCCCCCACCCCCCCATCACCGCGCTCCAAAGGAAGCTCCCTTTCAATGGGGCCAAAAGTTGATGTCTCAACTATCAGACAGGAAAGTTCGGAAGCTCTGAAAGCCGTCAGTCCCGACTGTGAGTGGCCTCCCGGTGCCGGGTCGACTCTGCATCCGTCTCTCGCGATTCATCTCGTCCTGGAAATCGATTCATCCCCACGGATTCATCGAAAAGCCGCCAAGACCAGCTCCAAATGGCCGAACTGAGTCAATCGAAACCTTGGACCCAGCACCAGTTGAAGAATCGAGAGGCCGGATATACGCCCCAGTTGATTGTTTATTGATGGTTGGGACTGTCCCTGCCTAAATTTCAGCCCGGCAAGTCTCGTCGCTCCCCACCCATCCAGGCGGTCCGCTTGTCGCAGGCGCGCGGCTTTGGAAGATCCGTGTACCGACGCCTGCCACTCTCCGCGCAGCCCGAGAGTCCGAGGCGTCTGTCCGAGTCACGCGGCTCAAAGGAAAGCCTTTCGCATGGATCCTCCCCAAGAGTTGTCATGTGGCGGTGGACATCATTTCGGTGGGGATTCATGTCCGCCAATAACTTGTGAGGCTCCCTCTTGAAATTCATGGCCATGTCAAGGCTAAAAGGCCACTTCAAAAGGTCCTACCAAAGGGTGCAGTTGGGCAGAAGAAGAGGGCGCACTGGCTTGACCATCCCCAAATGCGAATCTACTCATGGCTCAACGGCACAGCCTCAACCTCCTCGCAAACAAATCCAGCCATCACCTGGCACCGTAGTCAGCAGGGGAAAATCACATATCCGCCAAATGCCTAGATGAAAGCAACTTGCATGACTGACAGCATGTTGCCTCCAAAAGGGGGAATCCCCAAACTGCCTGTTGCAATGTTGCTTCCCGCCAAACAGCAAGCCCATTCAGGCACACCCAGGTAGAGATGTTACTTGGTGATAAATTGGACAAATATGCTAGCCTAAGTGTATGGTGTAGGGATGATGCTAGTTCAAATGGGGTGGGTGCCGTTGCTTGAGGGAAACCAAAAATGGAAATCGGCCAATCCCTTTGGCACATCACGGGAATGAGGGCTCTGAGGCCAACGCTCCTCCATCCTTCAGCTCGCCAGCCTGATAAAAAAGAAGCAACCAATTGAAACCAACTGAAAGACAGCTCTCCCCAAAAAAAAGTTGGCTGCTTTTTTGTTGACACAAACCAGCCAACAAAGTCACAAAAAGACACGCAAATGCAGTGTCAAACATAGTTAAGGAGCCATCGACTTGTGCGGTGTTCTGGGCAACCCCATCAACTGAAGATACTCTTGCAATGGTCTGACATCTCAAGGGGCCGATGTCCTTCCCTATCCCAAGTAACTGGGTTGTTCTGATGTCACAGCTGCAATAACATCGCCTCTTCCTTGCTGAAGCATTCTGGGAGAGTGATTAGCTTCAAGCACAAGGCTGCGGCTCCACCAACCCTCAAGGTAGCAGAGCACTGAGGCGTGCGCCGCAAGGTGGTCATCAATAGCAGCCCCAATGTGAAGCTTCTGCGTCTCCGAAAGGCATTTGTTGATCACGTCCTGCATGGCTGAGCTTGCCAATCCAACATGCATCCTGGAGCTCAGTCCCGGATATGTGCCCGAAGCTGAACACATTGGTCCAACCTTGGTGCACGCGAGCACGCAAAAACCCAGTTGCCTGGCACATCGCCCCAATGTCCCGCTACCAGGCCCCATCTGCACTTGGCGCCTCACATTTTGCAGCCATGCCTCGCCAGGCAATCGAAACGCGCCCCAAACCCATTGACTGTGGATTCCAGCAACATGGATATTAATACGGGTTCATAGAAGCCTTTCCTACAACCCCCCATGAAACTAGGTAGCAGAACCACCCGCTAAAAATGGCTGTGGGTCAAAAGGTACCCAAAATGGGTTGCCCCAGCAAATGGAAACATGGATTACAATCTGCGGTTTTTCTGGTGGCTTAACTTTGACCCATACCCAAATGGCCAGGGGGTGTTGGGCGCTCCATTCGCCACGGCCCGCTTTGCCTAAGCTCCGGACTGATGGATCTGCTGTTGCTCCCCAAACTCTTTGAGCCGCCCGGCGCTGTGCTGAAGAAACTTGGCCTGGCAACGTGAGATGGGTAAGTCACAATCAAACCCCTTGTATTAAGATGGTCGTAATCCCAGAACCATGCTTCAAGAATTAGGAAGGCGAAACTCCGCAACTATTTCTGGCTGGGACTGCCCCTTACTAACCTTCATCTACCTGGTTTTGGATTGTGGCTCAGGTGCAGTTTCGACAAGTGGAACCCTGTGGTGGACAACACTTATCCTTGGGGACCGTATGTCCAACAACCATATTGGAGAGTTTCCGGCAGGTTTGTTTGGGCTAAAGGTTGGCTTTGGGGCTGGTTTAGTTTGCGGGTTGGCTTAGGCTTGGTTTAGGAGGTTGAGGGTTGCGTGAGGGTGGGTTTGGGATTGACTTATCTGTCAGGATAGCTCCGGATAGCCTTGCCTATTAAAGCTCACCGGTGGACGATCATGTAGCCCAAAAGGCTGATTTGCTTGGTCTGTCAAACAATACCGCCTCTTTGCCAACCATCCCAAGCTCATTGTCCAGGGCTTTCAGCTCTCGCGCGATGATGTCCAACTTGAAAATATCCAGCTCCTCGGGGCATGGCAGATTTGCTTGCAGCACCTCTTCCAAGGTTGGTGCAAACTTATTCAGCTCCAGCCACTTTATTGAGGCCCGTGGTTGGCTCCGTCAGCAACCATGCACTGGCATGAATGCTGCTTGCTCCATGCGCGTGCCGACGCTTCCTTGTACTTTATCGCCATAAGCCTTTCTCGTTCCAAAGC